CCCCCCCCCCCCCCCCCCTTCGTTTTTTAATAGGGCAATTTGATAGATTGAATTAGGATACTTTAAACCCTAAGGAAAAGCCCTCTCAACAAGCTATACCGCATTCTTATTATGTGCAGCTGAGGTGATAAAACAGCTTCACAAAGAGCGTCTGCCACACTGCCATTTCGGCTTCACTATTTACATAGCGTTGGAGAGAGGACTAGTGATTAGATTGATCGTGTAGGTGAGGGATAGAACCTCGTAACACGTAAATATGTGAGTAGCAAGCATACTCATTGCTTTCTGGTGCTCACAGTAGCAGGTGAGGAAATAAAAATTAACTAACAAAGATTAGAGCATTTGTGAGTCAAGACTCGAGAGAGTCCTGGAACAGTGTTTAGAGCACAAACTAGCTAGCTCAGAAGGCAATGATGTTTCATATTTCTCAATCTTCAGATATGCTTCTAAGGTAATGAAAATAAATATGAAGAAATTTGTAAGAAAAAGAATGTGTCAATGAGGTAAAGACCAAGTACAAACATCAACAAGAACAAAAGACTCTCAGGTCAACCTCACATGACCATTGATTCTTGACAAGTCAGAGGCTTTCTAGTCTTTTCCTTCTGCTGCGCGATGCAGACCTTCTCGCCTAATTTTCTGGAGTAGCAAGGTTTTGGCTGTTCGGAACTCCTTCCACTGAGTCAAAACAAGGTTGAGAAGACACTTAGCATTCAATGAACAAGTCCATGATGACCGAGATTGAATACAAATCTTCAAATCAGTTTCACAAAGGTAATTAGAGTTATAATTAGTCAATTACCACATAATCTCAACTGGTTTGAAGATGTCTCAAATTTCATCTAACAGGTTCCGTAAGTAAATAGAGAAGTATCAGGACTACCTGCATGCTTCGGCTTGCTGTCCGGTCGATTCTGTTTTACAGCTTTTGTGGTGTCAAGGATCACGACCCGCCCATCTACCAACTGTTATCGAAATAACAAAATTTCATCAAGATTACGCAACATAATCAGTTCAAAGAGTTGATGATTCAGTGTGGTCGGATTATTCACAGCAAAGAGTTCCATTTTCTAGACATATCTTGTTCTTCACCAGGGGATTCAAACATATTCATCATATACATTTCCCACCTAAAATGAGAAAGCTATATGAACAAAAGAACTAATGAAGAGATAAGATACCTGTCCGTTTAGTTCTAATAAAGCTTTCGCAGCTTCTTCTTTAGAAGAGAAAGTGACATAAGCAAACCCTTTTGGCCTACATCTGACTTCGTCCATTATAACATCCACTGAAGCAACCAAAAAGTTAAAGAAGAATATGTTAATGCAGTTGTGTCAAGAAACGCCCAACTAAAATGCTGTTGAGATTTAAGAGACTGACCTCCAAGAACTCGGCCAAATTGAGAAAACGCTTGCGTTAACGTCTCTTCTGTGCTTGAGAAAGATACGCCTAAAACAAACAAAGCCTTCAATTTTAGTAACACAAAAGCTCACATAAGAAAGAAGCCCATGAGATTTGCAAAAGACGATGCTTTTTACATCAGTAAGAAAATTCACACATACAGTTTCAGTGACAACTTCCGATAAATTGAAAACAAGCCCTTTAGTTTTAGTGACAGCAACATAAGAAACGACTGAGACTCATAAGAAGAAGACGATGCTTTTACAGTCGAAAGCTTGAAACTTTTAAGAACATTATTGACAAATTAGGAACATCTCTTAAATTCAATCAAAACTCTGTTCAAAACATATATGCACTTAAATAAAGAAATGAGAATTAGATTCGTGGATCAAACATCAGATAACTGGAGAGACCTAATCGCATAAATTAATGGAGAGAGACCTTTGACGAAAAGCGTAGAAGAGGAGGAGAAGGTTCTGGAAAAGAGGAGAGACGGAGCGTGAGAGCGATAGAGGAAATGAGTGAGCATTCTTGGGAGAGCGATCGACCACCGGTAAATCCAAGTCTCAAATCCTTTGGCTTCGCCTCACCAATTCTTCCGTCCATTTGTTTTTGTAACCCTTTTTAGAATAAATTACTTATGAAGGCCCTGATGATTGTTTTTTCTTTTGCAGTTTTTTCTATTTTTTGTTCATTTATAATATTTTCTCACTGGTATTTATTTGGTAAAGAATTTTGGATGTTCTCTCTTGCAAAAAATAGAAAATAAAAAAAATGACTAGGATAGCACTAAAATTTTTTTTTATCACAAATATAGCACTTAAAAATAAAAATGATCAAAATAACATTTAATGTTTTATCAAAAGAGAAAAATATACATCTATATCCTAATGATAAATTAATTTAGACATTAGGGTTTAGAGTTAAAGGGTGGGATTTAGGATTTAGGGTTTAGGATTCAGAGTTTAGGGTTTAGGGTTCAGAGTTTAGAATTTAGGTTTTAGGGTTTAGAGTTGGGGAGTGGGGTTTTGGGATAAGATTTCAATTTTTGAAAAATAAAATTTTTTAAAACTTTTCAAAAGATAAAATGCTATTTTTGTCATTTTAGTTTTTGTGGGCTATTTTTAGACATAAACTTAGAAATGTGTTATTTTAAAGATTTTCCCAAAAAAATGGATGTTCCTAAACGCATTTTATTCATAGTACTCGTTTAAAAAATAAGAAAATTAAATAAGTATAAAAGGATGTATGAGATAATTTATCAAATGAGAAATCACAAAACTTGAAAAAGCTTTGTGAGCATGATTCAGTTTACAAAATCATTAAACTGTTTTCAAATAAAATATTAATTAATTAAATGAACAAGTTATACAGAAAATATTAATATAAGAATTTTTGTTGAGTTTTTAACAACCAAGTTCTTAAAAAAAGTTTTTTTTTTATAAAAAGGGGTTTGGACAAGCCTATTACAAAAAATTAAGGCATCCCAAACGGGGTTATACAGATCCAAAGGCACTAGCCAAAGTTGATCAAAAAATTTCTCCAACTCAAAAAAAAACTCAGAATACTTGGAACCAGGAGCAAAGGAGAGAGAATCCTGGTGGAGCATTTTGTTTCCTCGAAAGAGGATCAAGCCTGAGACACACCCTCGGCTTTATATCTTTTATCAAGAGCTGGGTTTGGCGAGCAATACCCTGATGTAATCTTGAGTTCCTCTCCCTCCAAAGTTGATAGATAGATGCTTAGAAGTGAAGACTAATGATGAGAGTTAAATTCTTGTTCCTAGTAGGGTCTTTCAGCCATCTCAGACTGTCCTCAAAAAGAAGGGGAGGCGAGAGATGCAACCTGTTACAGAAGAAATACCAAACTTCCGAGGAGTACTAACAGTCAAAAAAATAGATGTTGTCTATTCTCATCACTAGCATTGCAGAGAATACACACTGATGGAACTTGTAACCCCCACTCAATCAATCTGTCTCTGGTGCTTAACATGTTTCTAGCCACAATCGAGGTTATAAAAGCATGTTTAGGAATGCGTCCATTGAACCATACCTGATCACACCAAGAGACTTCATCAAAGCGAGGATGAAGAGTCTTCCAAGTCTCTGAAGTTGAGAAACTGCTCTTTGGAGGACCAGAACCCGACTTCCAAAGGTAGCAATCATCACTCTCACAGTTCAGGACTGGAGTTGCATCGGGTAAGCAATTTTTTAGAAGAACCAGAGTCGGGTTCCTACTACGGGAATGCATTATCCACCAGCCATTAGGACTCAATGCCTCTGCCACTGAAGCCGTAATAAGTAAACCCGAGAGCATGGGCCCTAAGGCTCCAACAATATCAATCGACGGACCCTTGCCCGTCCAGTTATCAAACCAGAAGCTAGCAGAGATTCTTGAGCCAACTTCACAAACAACAAAAGCTCGAGCAATATGTCTCAGCTTACATATGCTCCGCCAAATCCAGCTTCCATTCGCCTCAGCATCCAACTCCCAAAAGTTATTATTTCCATTGAGATGCAATCTGACCCAAGAGACCCAGAGAGAACCCGCAGAAGCAATGATCAACCAGATAAGCTTTAAGCCCAGTACCGTATTCCACTCCGCAAGTCTCTTGAGGCCTAAACCTCCTGACTCTTTTGGCGTGCACACTGAATCCCAGGAGACCTTTGCGCCTCTAGCAGAGGAAGTATTTCCACGGCACAAAAAGGCATTACAGAGTTTTTCAAGTTCTTCAATACATTGTTTAGGAAGGACAAAGATTGAGGTCCAAAAAGAGATGGTGGAGTATATTACTGACTGAATCAACTGGAATCTCCCTGCAAACGAGAGATGCCTGGCTGGCCAAGAGTTGAAACGCATAGTGATCCTGTCCAAGAGGGGTTGATAATCAGTCCTGGTCATTTTCTTAGATGTCAAAGGGACCCCTAGGTAACGGACCGGTAACGCACCCTGAGATATACCAGCAGCTTTCGCCAGAGTTTTACATATGTTAGGACAACCTCCATCAATCACCACTTCTGTTTTTTCTCTACTGATGCTCAAGCCAGAGGCTGTTTTAAAGTTTTTCCAGAATAGATAAGATCCCCAACAGAGAGTCTTGAGAGCCATCAAAGAAGATCAAAACATCATCAGCAAAACTGAGATGCGTGATCAAAGGAGCTTCACACATAAGATGAATTCTGAAAACCTGGTTACTTTAAGGGGAAGTATGGCCTTAGCCAGGGTGATCTGATCTCATATCTTCTTTTCGTGTTCGTCCAGCTTCTTGGATAGGACATCCATAGCTAACACGAAAAGAAGAGATGAGATCAAATCACCCTGCCTAAGGCCACACTTCCCCTTAAAGTAGCCATGTAACTCACCATTGATCACCATACTATACGAAGTAGTGGTCACACATTCTCTGATGTAATCAATGAACCCCCGGGGGAGATCGATAGCCTTCAGAATATTAAGAAGGAAATCCCAATTCATATTGTCATAAGCCTTCGTGAGATCAACCTTGAGACACCCACGAGTAGTAACTCCCACTTTATGGAAATCTGAAACTAATTCCGAGGCTAGTAGAACGTTTTCACAAAGCAACCGCCCCTTAATAAATTCAACTTGGTTTCTTTGTACCACTTCCTCTACAAATAGCTGGAGTCGTTTTTTTTTTTAAATTCTTGAAATGACTTTATACCCCGTGGAGCACAAGGAGATAGGTCTAAACAAATGCAGCCGATCAGCTCCAGTGATTTTTGGTATTAGAGCTATGGCAGTAACGTTTATACCAGAATGAAGCCTGCTTCAACTGTATGCTCTCCCCACAATCGCCCAAGCCTCCTTAAAAAATTCAACTGAGAAACCATCAACTCCAGGAGATTTGCTTCTAGGCATAGCAAAAAGGGTCTTCGAGATCTCCTCTCTGAAAGGAATATTTAGCAGCGAGGGATGTAATTAGGGAGGACACCTGAAGGAGTATAGCCTTTGAATCTCATGTATATCCATCAGCGTTACCTCCTCATTCACCGAGCCGAGCAGATTATTAAAGTAGGCCACGATCATATCAATTATCTGATACTTGTTAACAATTCTCTGATCATGCACCGTGAGAAGAAACCTGATCGCATTTCTAGCTTGGTGAGCCAAACAGCTTTATGAAAAAATCTGGTATTAGTGTCTCCTTCATGCAACCAACGAATACGGGACTTCCTGCTGTAAAAAAATCTTGAGAGTTGCTTCAAAAAACTGCCAATTTTTCCTAGCAATGAACTCCTCTCTAAAGCTAGCACGAGAAGGGTTAGTCATCATCTTAACTTGAGCTTCCTGCAACTTATCCCAAGCTTCTTTAGTTTTCTGCTGGATATTCTCAAACCCTTCCTTATTAAGTAACCTGCAAGCAGCTCTGATATTTTTTAGTTTCTTGGAGAGGGTAAACATTGTCGAACCCACATGAGTCTCCAAATTCCAAGCCTCCTCAATCACTTGCAAAAACCTCGGATGAGAGGCCAAAAAAGAGTAATACATAAACCAAGCTCTTCTGAAATAGGATTCCGAAGACAAATTCAAGACACAAGGGGAATGATCAGATTCTACAGGGGCGTCAAACTGTGCAACCACATCGGGAAAAACTTCCCTCCACTTTGCATTTACAAAAACCCGATCCAGCTTCCTCAAAATAGAATCCTCCGGTTTATTGTTAGTCCATGTGAAGAAAGTTCCACGGCTCTCAACGTCTGCCAGATCACACTGAGATAAGCATTCTTGAAGATCACACATACCCCTGACCGGAAGAGGATAAGGAGCAATACAGAAGTGCTCCATTACTAGAAGAATTTGATTAAAATCTCCAAGTGCAACAAAGGGAGTCCTCTGAGTAAGATTATGATCCGAGACTTCCTTAAGCTCTCGCCACAACTGATGTCGTTGTCCCTCAGTGTTGAAAGCGTAGACAAAAGCTACAGAGAAGGAAATACCTGAACCCGGATCAAGAACACTACAAAAGAGCATTTGTTCTGAACGCCGAAGAACCATCACCGAGACCAAAGGGTCCCAAACAACAATTACCCTGCCTCCAGGAGACTGACACATGTTGCTATCAAAGCGCCATCCTGGTAAAGTACTGTTGATCACTGCCAAAATATTATCATCACGAGTATGAGTTTCAAGGAAAGCTCCAGCTGAAACATTGTTGGCGTTCACCCATCTTCTCACACTCTTCTGTCGATCACTACTACAAATACCTTTAACATTTCAGAAAAATATCTTCATATCTACAGGTTGGGTGGCCAAAAAGCCGGAGTTACTGAGAACACTTCTTTCCCGAAAAGAAGCTTTGGGATTGAAACGGAGAACTGTTCCTTGAGGGACTCATATTATTTGCCTGCCATAGAGCTTCTTGCCTCATAGCTCTACGGGTCCAACGAGAATACTTGGTGTTCCAAACTGATCCAGGGTCATACTCTGGTACATCTATGCTAACAGGAGGGACATAAGGAATCACTGGTGTCGACGAGGCAGCTGGGAGGTCATTTGTTGAGGTAGATAAAGAATGAGCATTAGAGACAGTAGCAGCATGGGCGTCTGAATTCACTTTCGAAGGTAAGGACTCAACCAC